TGGTCATGGAACAGGACCCCGTTGTGGAAGGCACTGCACAAACACAGAACAGAGACAGTCCCTGTCCCAAAGAGCTCACAGTCTAAGTAAATTCATGCAGATAAATCCTTACTATGCCATCATGTATTAATTCTTTCTCACATACGTAATCTCAAACATCTTGCTTGAGAGTGAAGACACTAGGCTTTTTTAAGTGGTGGACTTATCTCTTTGTTTTTATTCATCTACTTCAAACATTATAAAATGCTACTGCTAACAGATTTAAGATGGAACAAATCAGGCAGCCTGATGTTCTAAATTGCTCTACGTAAAGCAATGGAACTGAACGAAACCCACAAAGAGGAACAGAGTCTGTGTAAGGAAGCTAATCTAGGCAAGGATGGAGCATTTGCCTACTCCGCTCTGACTCAGAGAGGATGTGATCTTACCCACTGCTGGGAAGTGGCTCTGAACAAATCATTATATAACAGATTTGCTTGTCCACTTCCAAATCTCGCCTGCCCCTCTACAGGCATACAGAGGGGTTCTTTATAAATCACACACACGATAGCTAGTATGTCCTTCAGAGGTTGCTGCTGAGCATTTCTAATATTATGTCCCCCAAGAAATATTTATTTGATACAGAAGTTGTCCAGTATTAAAGGAAACCAAAAGTAATTAAATGCTTGAGCTCAGCACTTCCCTTGATGATTTCAGAAGGCTGAAATGCCCCCTTGCACCGGACTACTGTGCACTTCCTAAATGGTGCTGCATAAGACACGTGTTTTTTCTTTGATTTGGGGAGTAAATCTTTATCTTCATTAGCACCTCTTTCAATGGTCCCCATCACAGACCCAGATGGAATTCATCCTAATCATCTTTTTAGCATCTGAACTATTTGCATATGTAACAGGGTGGCTCACCCACTTAAGGACCAGAGATCTGGGACCAGCCAGCCTTGATCACTAATCAAATGCAGCTGAGAAGGGCATAGTGTTTCCCTATAAAGAGCTGTAGGAAGATGCTGCAGGAAGGGACAGTCTCCTGCAGTAAAAACAACGAGGAGTCCTTGTGGCACCTTAGAGACTAACAAATTTATTTGGGCATAAGCTTTCATGGGCTAAAACCCACTTCATCAGTTGCCTGGAGTGGAAAATGCAGTAGGCAGGTATAAATACACAGCACGTGAAAAGATGGGAGTTGCCTTACCAAGAGGGGGGGTCAGTGCTAAGGAGCCAATTCAGTTAAAGTGGAAGTGGCCTATTCTCAACAGTTGACAAGAAGGGGTGAATACCAAGGGAGGGAAAATCCCTTTTGTGGTGCTAATGAGGCCAATGTAATCAAGGGTTCAGAGTAGCAGCCGTGTTAGTCTGTATCCGCAAAAAGAAGAACAGGAGGACTTGTGGCACCTTAGAGACTAACAAATTTAATGTAATCAAGGTGGCCCATTTCAAACAGTTGACAAGAAGGTGTGAGTATCAGTATTTGTTAATCTCTAAGGTGCCACAAGGACTCTTCCTTGTTTTTGCTGATACAGACTAACACAGCTAACACTCTGAAACCTATCTCCTGCAGTAGTTCCTGGGGAAGAGAGACTCCAGGTGGGAAGCCCTAGGTGTTGTGGCTGGATAGAAAGTCCCAACTGGAAGTTCTGTTTTTCTTTTGTGAATTTGTTGGAGGTTTGCACAATGAATGGAGACTGGAGGCAGAGCTAAAAACTGATTTGAGCATGGGATGAGTCCCCAGCCTGGTGAGTAAGGCTAGCATCTTACAACAAAAGAAATGCTGAGTCACCAAAGGGAGATTATGGAAAACACTGATATTTCTCAAGAAGAACAGGAGTACTTGCGGCACCTTAGAGACTAACAGATTTATTAGAGCATAAGCTTTCGTGGGCTACAGCCCACTTCTTCGGATGCATATAGAGTGGAACATATATTGAGGAGATATATATACACATACAGAGAGCATAAACAGGTGGAAGTTGTCTTACCAACTCTGAGAGGCCAATTAAGTAAGAGAAAAAAACTTTTGAAGTGATAATCAAGTTAGCCCAGTACAGACAGTTTGATAAGAAGTGTGAGAATACTTACATGGGGAGATAGATTCAATATTTGTAATGG